AATTAGACTTAAATATTCATCTCGCAATTTACACGCAATCTGTGTAATTAGTTTTTTTTTCGTTTATATTTAATACTTCATGCATGTGTCAAACATTCGATGTGACATAGTAAAAAATTTTGCCATGGGATCTCAACAGGACCTCAAGACAGGAGGCAAAGACAACTGAAGTGATGCAAACAGATATATATCTCCCAAATCTCGTCTTTGCATCGCCAGAATTTTCTTTTCCCTTTAGCGTCCACACCACACGTAAAAGGTGATACATGTGTGTTAAACAATTCATCCGCGTCTACATTTATCTTATGGTCGGGTGCTTATTTAATTTATACTCTTTTTTATGAGTAAAGTACAACAAAAATTTATCCTAATTCATGACTACATTACAGTTGTTGGTACAAAAGAAATTCTTTTAGAAGTATTTCATTAGCTAGCTATGTTTATAAAAAGCAAAATTTGCTTTAGGATGCTCTAAATTCGCGGCCGCTTTAGGGCACTTTAGTTTTGTGGCTTTGTCATAGGACATTCCAATTTTATGCTTCTTTGCCAAAAAGACACTTCGACCATTATTTTGATATATATCCCATTCCAATGAAATGATAACAACTTTGCAAAAGATGACTTTACCCTTGAACCACCTTGCAAATTTTAAATTTTAACACATTTTTCCTGAATTTAAACATATTTTATAAAATTCAAAACTTGTCCCAAATTACGGAAATCGAATGCATTCCAGGTTTTTTTAAAAAAAAAGGGATAAATTTTGAAACATTATTGTCAACAACTGTTTGAAAATTTTTGATTTCCATAATTTGGGACAGCTTTTAATATAAAATGATTACAATCAACAAAAATGTATTCAGATTAAAATTATGCAAGGTGGTCCAAGGGTGAAATCATCTTTTATAAATTTTTCTCTCTATTAGAGAAGAATATATTAAAATAATGGTCAATGTGTCTTTTTTTTTTCAAATGACCACAAAATTAGAATGTTTTTTTTATCAAACCATAGTGGGGGGCACCTATATATTAATTTTCCGAAGTTTATATACAGAGAATGGAAAAATTAGAATGTTCTAAAACAAGTGCCACAAATTTAGAGTGTTTTAGAGTAAATTTTACCTTCATAATTTGTTCGCCAAATAAACCTACTGACTGATCCGTTCACCGACGTACAAACCCTAAGTTAAAAGTCCACTAAACAAATATATAAACGGGTTATATAATAACGGGCGCGCCATATAGTTTCATTTCAAGCCCGAAGTCGTGCTAGAAGTCCATTCAGACATTCCATGCCCATTTCATGCCTCACGCATGCGTTTTGCGTGCTCCCATGCGTCCCTCACACGCATCTCTCGCACCCTCGGCGACGAGTAGAGAACACAGCAATCACCGGTAAGAATTGGTTTTTCTCGTGTGTTGGGTGTTGGTGGTTGTTTAGTTCTGTGTGGAAACTGAACTAAACTTCTTTTTTAACAACATGCACGACATAGTGCGACATTTCGTATTGGTAGAGCAAAAGAAATATTATAAGTCTACAATCCTAAGAGACTATAACCAGAAAAGGAAAAAACAACTACCACACCACACATCTACGACCAAAACCAACCACTACTACAAAAAAGATCTTTCCAGATGGGCAAAACTGATTTTCGCGTGCGGACCTCCGGCTCGTCTGCCTCAAAGGGTCTGCGAAAATCTAATTTTTCGTGAGGGTGACACACCCGCACGCGAAAATTAATTTTTTGTGTGTGGGTGCTTACGTCGCCCGCACGCGAAAACAAAAATAGAAAAAAAATAAAAATCGCAAAAATCGAGCAGCTGTCGTCTGCCGCAGGGCGCTTCCCACCACTGCCGCCGTCGTGCTCCACCCGCTGCCGGCCTCTTCCCATCGCTGCCGCCACCGGCCTCTTCCCACCCCTACCACCGTCGGGCTCCTCCCACCGCGGCGACCGTGCTCCTCCCGCCACCGCAGCTGGATCCGTGCAAATCCGGGTGGGGGACAGCCGTCGCCGCCGGATCTGCGCAGGGGACGGCCGCCGCCGCCACCGCCCGCCCCACGCCGCCTTCATCGCTCTCCCGTCGGCTGCCACGCGCGCCGTCCTCTGCCACCGTCGTCCCACGCCGCCTTCGTCGCCCTCCCCTCGGCCGCCGCGCGTGCCGGCCTCTGCCGCCGTCACCCCTCGTCGCCTTCGCCGCCACGCGCGCCGGCCTCTCCCAGCCGCCGCCACTCTCCCGACCGGGAGAGTTTGAGAGAGGGAGAGGAGTATGGGAAAGAGAAAGAGGAGAGAAAGTGAGAGACACATGAGGAGAGGGTGAGGATAAGGATGAGGAGGTGATATGTATGGAGAGGATAAGGATGAAAATTTTGAAGTGTTGGGAGGGAAAAAAATCTAGAGAGGAGGGAGGGTATTTTAGCGTGCGGTCCTCTTAAAAGGCCTACTTGCAAAAACAATCTTTTTTTGTGAGGATCCTTAAGAGGCCCGCTTGCGAAAATCGATTTTTGTGTGCAGTCCTCTTAAGGGTCTGCACGCAAAAATGGGAGGACGAGTTTTGCAGACACGACCAGTTACGGTCCGTCTACAATCTAAAGAGGACGATGTACAGGAAAATCATTTTTGTAGTAGTGTATCGCTGAAGATCAAAGCAAAACATGACTTCCCTAAGGGAAAGGATCTTCTAAATAGCGCTTCCAGGAAAGATGTGACACTAAGAGTGCCGCAGCCACCCGCCCTGAGGTGCCAGGACGTAGTTTTCACCTAAAGAAATCCAATAGAGAGGGCATGAAAGTTCACACAAACAACGTCCCAAGGGAAAAGCAGCAACCACAAGCTTCGCCATTGCTAGCCCAAAAGGCTAGGTTTTCGCCCGTAATCTTTCTACCCTCCTATGCTGAGGTTGCCTACCAAGAACAATAAGCATCGCCACCTGCACACCTTTGATATGCGGCCACCACGCCAGCACCTCGCCACCGGCCAACCATCAAGCAAGAGCTCGATATCCGGCGTGCTCCAAATCCATCTACGTAGTTAGGTTGGAGAGGGAAAGGGTGAGAGAAAAGAATGGATCCCCTCTCCCCCGCACTAGCCTACCCAACATGGCCATCTTATGACTGCAAGGCCCCACCACAAGAAGACTAGCATCTAGATCGAAGCCCGTCACAGGCCTGCAACGCCCACCTCACAGCACCATCGTAGCCATCGCCTCAACCAGACTTCCTGCATTACTGCCGCCTCAAGACACCCATTCACATCGCCATCGCCTCGCGCCCATTGCCCCCTGCCGCCATTAACTCCCCGGAGCATGGTCAGCTAGTCCTGCCTTGCGCCCGTGCCGCGGTAGCTCTGCCTACCACCAATTTTGGCCTCCCGAAACTAGGCCAGCACAGGCATGCCCACCGCCAGCGTCGTCATCATCGTACAATCGTCGTCATTGCAGACCACCACTCAGACTGGCACAAAGCTCACGCTGGAGTGGATAGAGATCTAGGCTAGGGATTGCCAGATCTTGCGGAGGTGATAGATCCAGCCGGCCTCATCATCGTCGGGGAGTCAGAGGCTGTTGTCGCCACACCCGACAGGGCCTTCCCTAGACATCGTGACTACCGCCGTCCCCAGAGCTAGCCACGGGCCAACGCTAGCGCGGGGTTTGAGGGTTGCCTTCGCCACGCCTGACCAGCCTTCCATAGCCGCTGTCGTCCCCAGATCTGGCCAGGGACCGACTCCAGTTGCTCCTCCACGGTCGTCATTGCCGTCACTCGCGCCACACATCCTCGCCATGAGCACCAACTCCGGCCCAGCTGACTTCCTCTCCCAGTCTGCCCGCACTTGAGCTCAGGGAGGCTACCATAACTAGCCCCGCAGCTACCGTCCTTGCGTGTCGCACGGCTTGCCGGCAAACCGCTCTGGCGACGGCGAATCTGAGGGAGGAGGAGGTATGTGGTGGCGGTTGCTAGGGTTGCACCGCCCGTGCCACCCTTGCGGGAGGTGGCGTGTTCGCAGAGCTTGCCACAGAATCCTTTGAAGCTAAACTAAACTTTGAATAGGATTAATCAAACCAATGCTTAGTTTGTTCTCGGTTCAAACCGAAAACCATGTTTTATAACGCTTTCTCTCATGGCCTGATCTTCTGATGAGGAAATAACTCTCGCTTTAATTGAGTGTGATGTTTACGATATGGCTAACAACCATAACACGTTCAAAACATCATGTAACTATAGTAACTATAGTGTAGTGTAATGTTACACCACAACTACATTATAATTACATTGAAAAAAATTACCTAAAAAACTTGCGACAGTTTTTTTTAAGCAATTCCAAAGAAAAAAACCATATATGCCACCATCTCGCCGAATTCCTCGTAGTGGAACCGTTTGCCGTCTGTAGCAGGTACTTGTCACTGGCACATTGATGAATGAGTTTTATCTTTGGGACTATGATTGATGTGTAATACTTGGCTATAAGTAATCTGTTGAAGCTATGTATCTATTCCTCTTTATATTTGGATTGCTATATGTTGGTCAGCGGTATAGTGTTGGTCTCCCTGCAGTCACTTACTGCCTGCTCATAGCTAAAAATTATTATATTTTAGAACGGAGGAAGTATGTATTATCCGAAAGCTTACGTTTATTAGAAAAGAAGCAGTGGGAACTGTCCATCGTCAAAAAAAATATAGCAACCCAAAATTCAAGGATCTGCCCAAATTTATTATATTAGATTGTGTTTAATCATATCTTAGATTGCTATATTTTAGCACGGAGTATAACAATGATGGGAAAATAAATTGGTATTCATTCTCTCCCCAAAAAGAGAATAAGTTGGATTAAGACGAAAATACAGAACATGTTTACCAAACGAGTGCCTGTCTATATAGCTCTGTGGTGACTCCTGTGTATGCTTGCCAGAAAATGCATCACACCATATATCATAAAGTACTGAAGTGAAGAAGACATGATGTGTTAGCAGTATTAATTAGGAAATATAGCAAATGAAAACTGAATGTGTAAAAGAAAAAAATGAAGTGAATAAATCAGAGGATACCACCATGTTTACAAACACTTCCAATAACTTCACAAATAGCTTCTTGTTACAGGAACGGGTCAACAAACACGCGCAATCAAACTACAGCAATAATTTTGGATTCACACCCACACCGTAATTTACAATCACCTGCAACAATAACAGATAATTACAGCACCCAGTATGGTCTTATCATTTCTTCTTAGCAGACTGCTTCTCTTGCTCCATCTTTGCAAATAGGCTTCCATCATAGACTGCCCTGACAGTATCCTTGTGAAGAAATCCATCCTTGTCTTTGCAGAGGTAGTACAATACTTTCCACTCTGTGAAGCCACCCAACCTGCAACGTTTTCCCCCAAAGAAAAAAAAGGATGAGCATGGACAAAACATAACTTCATTTTACCATTGTTCTTACAGTCTTAATCTAGATGAGAACTCACCATCCTTTGAAATCTTTAGGCTCCCTGTTTGATTGGAGCAACTCCTTCAGCTCTTTGTCTGTTAGGGCATCAGGCCTGGTGTGAGCATGCTTCTTGAATATTTCCTCGAACTTTTCTGGGACAAACCTGCAAGTGTACATATTGTGTGGTTAGCAAATCTAGATCCATGTTACCCTATTGCATTATTTTTACGACTCTAGCTAAGACAAGTGCCTTTGTTTGTTCGCATTGAAACAAAAACAATAAGAAAACAACAGCAGTGATAGCCTCACTGCATAGTGATCCTAAAAGCTTATAGATCTCAATGTGATACCATGAGTCTTAGTGGCAATATTTTTTTCACCATGTGCATTTCACACGTATTAAACTATGCATGCAATGGAACAACCAAGTGTTCTAAAGAAAATGAAACAACCATATCTTTGATTTCATATTATGCGTGATCTCTCTTAGAACTATAGTTTGGATGCATCTTCACTAGCTTTTGACAGAAGGAACAGACAACTAAAGTGCCTAATAAACAGATATCTCTCAAATCTTTTTGGCCGGGTGATATCCCTCAAATCTCTGCATCACCATGCCACATGAAAAAGGCGATTCAGTTCTCCTGTTTGTTAAGCAATTCATCCGCGTCTGTGTTACTTTATGGTTAGGTGCTGGCTTAATTTATCCTAATCTTGATGAGTAAAGTACAACGACAAAGCGATTAAGCCCAATTAAACATCTGACATCTGTGCTGGCCGCATGAGTCATGTTCATACTGATGCTGACACATAAAGAAATTAAGGTACCTTCAGCTTAAAAACATAATAATATAGAAAGGTACCTTCCATTCGCATCATACACGCCTGAATCGCTTCCATGCTTGCCTTTGTGGATGTTCTTGACGTATATGGGTAACTTGAGACCAGTCTTGGTGTTCTCCTACAGTAAAGCAGTGAGGTTGAAAAATGGTAAACGAGAGTCAGCATCAGTAAATAGTTCGTGCAACTAAATCAATCCCCATTTCGTGTCTCTGTTTCAAAGTCAATTTGAAAAGATTAAAGAGGCAACAGAAAAGTGAGCTGAGCCTGAGACTTTACTCTGTCCAGTACACACAAGAAAATGCAGTTGTATTGTCCGTGTCTATCGATATTATGCAATAATGCGTGGCCCATTGGTGTTCTCTTTCTTTTCAGTTATCTTATCAGTGCAGTGGTGCTTCATCAGTGCTTTCTCTTTCTTTTTCCGAATTAAAGGAGGTATCTTTCCCTTGCAATGTAGGTGCTGGCATTGGTATATATTCCACGTTACGAATACGTTTCTCGTTTAGTAGTTTCCTAATCGTTTGATACTTTTAACACCGATCTGAATAAATATTGTAAAAGAAATTGTATCTTCTTTTTCTTAACCATGAGACGCGCTTAGCTACGGGCCTATGGCTTGTGCAACAGAAATGGAAAATTAGTGGCAGGAGATATTAGTTTGTTGTGCTCATCTACTGAAATATTGTCGATGAACTGAACGAAGAAACAGTACCCAAACTGTGAAATTGAACTAAGAAACACCTGTGCATACCCAGATAGTAGCTTGCAACAACTAGACAAAAAAAAAAAAAGACAGTTCATGTTTTGGCGCAGAGCGAGCAAAGCAAAGCGTTGGCACTTTGGCAGTATGCAAGAAAACAGTAACATTGAATTGAGACAGAGAGGGAGATTTGATGTCTGCAGCTGTTGTACTGACCGGTATCGTCTTGGGCCCAAGTCCGCCATTGATGAACACGGCGCCGACGGCGGACAGCACGACTCCTGCCCCGATTGCGCGGAACCCTGCAAGCAAGCGCAGCAACGAACGAACGAATCGAACGCTTGAGAAAAAGAAAAAAATCATGAAGAAAATAATCGCTGTGTGAACAGTGAAGAGGAAAGGGGATCGATCGGTGGTGGTGGCTGCGTGAGCTGAAACCTTGGTAGGTCTCGGAGGGGTAGATGATGCCGTCCTTGTTGCGGTCGAAGAAGGCGACGTGCTTCTGCAGCGGCGTCAGCTCGGAGCGGTACACCTCCGCCTCGCCGCCGCCGGCGTTGTTGTTGTTGTCACGGACGACGGCGACGCCGCCGCCACCTAGCAGCAGGGCACACAGAGGCACGGTGACGACGGTGGCGACAAGGAACGCGACAGATTTATTCGCGCCGCCATAATAAGCAGACGAAGAAGAAGAAGAAGAAGCAGCAGCCATGGCGCGTTACTACGAGGACGTGTGTATGTAGATAGATGGCTCACCTGTAGCCGTAACGTCCGCGGGTTTGGAGGCCATGGGAACGACGAGATCAGAGAGAGAGAGAGAGAGGGAGAGGAAAGGTTGAGATGTGAAGGTGGCGGGGAGAGGGAAAGAAAAGCGGGTGGAGTGGAGTTGACAGGGTGTGCATTCGTGGACCCGATGCTGGAGGTGGTGGGCTAATCTGCAGACTGCAGAGATCGATCGATCGTTTGGCACTTTGGCTGATGGTGGTGGATGCCTCGCTACTGGTAATCTGGGGCTAGGTAGGTATATATATTGTGCCCATCGAGTCGCCGATACATGATACCTCACGTGTTTGCATTGCCTTGGATCGACGCGCGATCGAGGGACCGCGTACCTGGGCGATGGCCAGTGCGGCGAGTACCACCTCGCGAAGGAATCAAGGAAGCACCCACCCTGACGTGCTTTCCGGCAACCGTTGCGCGCGGCGCACGTGCTCCGAACTAGCACCCTACCCTACCCACCCTCCGATCGAGTCCGGGCGTATTTGCAAACGTACGCTCCAGCCCGAAGAGTAGGCTAGCCTCTTGCAGAAGGACGAGTGTTCTTGGGTAAGCAACGACTAATAGCGTTTTTCGGTGGCCGAGAACCTTTTCCAGACGTCGATGGTCAGCAGAGTAGTCGGTAGTGGTGGCACCCAACAATGAAGCCCGAGGGTCTAACTGACTAGCCTAAGAACATATGCGCTGTTGGATATCATGAAGAAACCAAAAATGTGTAACTGGCAGGCGATAAAGGAGATGGTTCTAGTCGGCTGTAGTCTACAATGCTCCAATTGAATGTCATATGCGCTACTCCAAAATTGTCATGTGTGTGGCCTAGGAATTGTGTTGCGCAAGTCAAAGGGTGGACGGGTGTGGATGGCACAATGGCTAGAGGGCTCTAAGCTATTTTGCTTTGTTCAGCGGTGGCGGTTCTGGGAGACAAATAGGCATATGGATAGTGAAGAAGACTAAGGGTCATCAACAACTTGAGGATGCATGGAGGGGATGACAAGAGATAGGAATCGGAGCAAAGGTCGTCACGACTCCTCGTCACTGGACCTCTGCAAGCTTGCGATCATATCTAGTGAACTCGTAGGTAGATTTTGTGGTGAAAAAGACCTCGCTATCCTCACCATCGTTGGGGCTCTTCTTGGTGGCTGAGAGGGGAGAGACTCGAGCTCATCAGCAAGAGAAGGGAGAGAGGCAAGCTCATCATTAGATAGGGGAGAGAGCTCGAGCTAGTTGGTGGAGAGGGGAGAGAGCTAAAGCTCATTGGCTAAAGAAAGAGAGACGGTGTTGGCACCGACGGAGGAGGAGAGAGGGGGAGAGGCTGGCGGTGGAAGAAGAGGGCGATACGACGATGGACGGGGAGGAGGGGAGAGGTGGAGGCATCGTCAAAGAAAATGAGAAGGGGATCAGTGAGGAGATAGAGAAAGAGTAGGGGGAGATGAAAAAGAGAGGGTGCAGGGAGAGGCTGATAGTGGGTCCATCAGAAAGGTTAGAGGTACATGTGTTCTCTTTTATGGTGTAGTGGGTCCATCAGAAAGGTTAGATGTACATATGTACTCTTTTATGGTATAGTAGGTCCATCAGAAAGTTAGAGGTACATATGTACTTTTTTATGATGTTGTAGGTCCAAAATATAAAAAGTTTCAGTTGATTTGATAATAAGAAATTTCACAATAACTGATACATAAATAATTAGGTGTACAAACACAAAATATAATGCAGAATGGTCTCTATTATAGGTGGTGTCGGTGATATGGGTCTGGGGGTACCATGCTTAAAGGGGAGAAGCCTCCCTCAACGTCCACGTGGCGCTTCCCCCGAGGGGGTCAGGCCCGTGGATGGGTGGTAGCTGCCCCTCCCTAGCCCGAGGGGTTGGACTGCCCCGACTAGGGGTGAAAACGGTATGGAAACTTTCCGGATTCCGGACCTATTTTCGAAAACGGAATCTGTCGGTTGGAATTTTTTGGAAACGGAAACGAATTCGGAAATATTTTCTCGGAAACGGAATCAAAAATGATAAGGGCAGTTTCCATCGGAACTCGGAATCGGTCGGAAACTTTTCAGAATTTTTCTCGGAATTTCTGAAAATTTTGTGATTGAAATATCCTAGATTCTTATTTTAGCACTGAATAGTGAATACCATGGAGTTTGGCTTTTATTTTTAAAAAAATATTTGTTATGAAATCTGAAGTTACATAAGTATTTTTTTTCTGCATTGGGATTTATCAACAACATTACTCTCTTAAACATAGATAATTTATTCCATAGATTGTGTTTTGTGATGTATTGTTGAGACTTAACAATTGGACTTATATGATTGTGTTTTACGATGAATTGTTGACCGTTGAGACTTGAGAATTGGATTTATTAGTTTGAGAGGTTTTTGTATTCCGATAAATTTTCGTTACCGTATTCGCGCTGGGTCATTTTCGCTCTGTTTTCGGTTTCGATAATATTCGATTCTGTTTTTGTATATGAGGTTTCCGATTCCGAAAAAAAAAGAAAACGAAAACGATAAAGAAGGTTTCCGTACCGTTTTCACCCCTAGCCCCGACCCCTCGGGACGGTCACCACGTGGCTGTCATGCAAGTGAGGCTAGGTGGACACCCCCCCCCCTAGCGCCCACCTAACGACATTTAGTGCGGGTAGAGCAAGCGTACCACGCTGCATTAAATGTGGCATGCTGCGCGCCTGACTAAATCGTGACCGGTGCGTGACCGGTCGAACGACAGACGGAAAGGCAGCAAGTCACGCGCGGTCTGACTGGGTGTCAGGCGGCGTGCGGTAGGTATACCCCGTCCCATCACGATGATGAGGGGCACAGCGCCTCTCAACCGTCCAGAGTCGGCTTGACCGCTCTGTACATGCCCAGGATCGTGTTTCCGGTGCATGCGCGCCCCCAAGTCCACCTCCATTAAATGATGAATGACGGGGATCCTCCCTATGTCGGCCTACGTCAGCCGGCATGATTCGATGGGCCCCGCACAACAGCCGATGTTCAGGCGATTTCTGGGTGGAGGCGCGAGACACACATTTAATGTAGAGAATATTTTCCTCCTCTCTAGGCGGCTCTGAGAGCGCATGTGGTAACCCCTTGAGGTATAAAAGGAGCTTCAGGCCTATTGAGGAGGGGGTTGGATTCCAAAAACACTGGGTTGGAGGTTGAGTTCTAGCTCACCAGAGATTCAGAGACTTTGTAAGCTTAGAAAAATCATCATACACAGGAGTAGGGTGTTACACTCCCCAGTTGCCCGAACCTGTATAAACCTCCTGTGTCTCACCCATCTCAGGGCCCCGACCCCCTCGACATAGCCATCTACTTCCATCTCTCCAACTCCTAAATGTTCACTCGCTGCCCCCGGGCCGAACTAACAAAGGGGGGCTGCACAGTCCCCCGCTCAAGGAGTTCACACTACTACAAAAGTGATTTTTCTGCACGAGGCCCCTTGATTTTTGCAAACGGACTATAACTAGTGGCGTCTGCAAAAATCGATGGTCATTTTTGCATGCGGCCCCTTAAGTGGCCCGTATGGGAAAATCGATTTTCCCATACGGGCCTCTTAAGAGGGACGCATGCAAAATTGAGCTCATTTTTGCATGCGGCTCACTTAAGCGTCCGCATGGAAAAATCAATTTTTCCATACGGGCCATTTAAGGAGGCGTATGCAAAAATAAATTTTGAAAAATTTGAAACTAGTGTATCTCACTCATATGAACTCCAAATTAGATTATTCTTTTTTTCTAAATGTTTCTAAAATCACGCTCTATCATGTTATTGTGTTCTTACTGCTATTATTTTGGCCATTTTTTCTTGTGATTTGTTTTATCAATTAAAATTTTAAATTTCAAACGTTCAAATAATATTTTGAAGCATTAATTGATTTCAGCTTGAAAAAGTCATCAATAACAAAGTTGTATAACTCATTAATATCTATAACTTCTATTTTAGTCATTTCTTCATCCGACAAAGTTATTTATAAGATTGTTCACAAAATGTACATATCTCTTATATATAGTTATGGTTTTATAAAATATATAAGAAATATGTACATTTTGTGAACAATCGTACAAATCGCTTTGTCGGAAGAAGAAAGGACCAAAATAAAAGTTATAGATTTTGATGATTTATACAACTTTGTTAATGATGACTTTTTTAGTTGAAATTATTTATTATTTGAAAATGTTGTTTGAAGTTGTCATAATTTGGAATTCAGATTCAATTTGTTCAAACAAAGTCATATAGAAAAATGACCAATACAAAAGTTATAGATCTTGATAAGTTATACAACTTTGTTGCTGACAACTTTTCCATTTGAAATCATTTACTATCCGAAAAATTATTTGATTTTCTTATATTTTAATATTCAAATTTTATATAATTCAATCAAACTCGGATGACAAAATGACCAAAAGAAAATTTGTAGAGCTCAATGAGTTCTACAACTTTGTTTTTGGTAACTTTTCATATGAGTTCATTTAATATTATAAAATTTGATTTGGAGTTCTCATATTTTTAATTTATTTTTTAATGATTATTTTCGCACGCGGTCCACTTAAGGAACCGCATGCAATAATGTATTTTCGCATGCGTACTCTTTAAGTGGTCCGCATGCAAAAATACCACCCAATTTTTTCATCTTCCTCCACTCTCTTTTCCCTCCCACCACTTTAAATTTTTCTAACTCTCATCTCCTCTCTCTCTCTCACCTATATTTTTTTACCCCGTCTCTCTCTGTCTCTCTCTTTCTCTCCTCTCCTCTCCTCTCTTTCTTTTCCCTCTCCTCCCTGGCCTCTCCCTCTCCAAGAGCGCAGGCCGGGCGCGCAGCGATAGCGTCGGCGGGAGGCCGATCAGGCGGCGCCGCCCTCGGGAGGGCCAGATCTGGCGGCCCCGGCCCCGAGCCGCGCCACCTCCGCTGCCGCCGCCGCGGGCCCCGCCTCCCTCGCCCGCGCCGCGCCGCTCTCCACGGTGGCCGCCGCCTTCCGCCGCACCAGCCCTCTCCTGTCCGGTAAGGGATCTCGTGTGTTTGGATGTGCTTCCATGGGGTGTAGAGGCACGTTGATCGATCGGTGGTTGGGGTCGTGCTACAGGGGACAAGCCGGCGGCGGTGGAGGACGTCGTGCCCATCACCATGGGGCTGGAGCGCAAGGAGCTCGCGGCGGAGCTCAAGGTCCACGACGGTGGTGGGAGCGGTCGGCGATGCGGGCGGTGGGCCTCCTACTGCCTGGATCCGGCGGCGGTTGGCC